CTAAAAACCCCGAAAAACAAAAAAACCTGTACCCCCCCTAGGGGGGTGGGCATTGGGTTAAATTCAAATTTGATATAACTGACGTGCGCGGGCATACTAAATAAATATTTCTTATAAATTTCAACTCGATCCGACTCTTTTTCTCGAAGCTATAGCCAGTAAAAGTTCTAACTTAAAAACTCGTACGGTTTTTTTTTTGTTTTTTCAACTTTCGCCTGTGAAGAGTTAAACTTTTTCAACTTTTACCCCCCCAAAGTACCAACTAGATGAAAATTGCGATTTATAGAGTTGCTATTCGAAGGAATTGGTCCAGTATAAAAGAAGTTACAGTGTATACAGATAAAAAAAAAACATACATCAGAGTAAAACCAATACCTTCTCGCTTTGCATCGAAGCTAAAACATTTTTCTGGATTTTTGTGAAAAAGGCATTAAAAGGGGTCAAATTATATGTTTTTGGGGTCGGTGATTACGAATTTGTTATCAGTTCTCAATTTTAATCAGCCAGAAAGAACTTAAGTAAAAAAAAAAAAAATTGAACTTTGTGTCAACTTAAAGTCAAAAGTGTTACTTGAGCACAAAACTCAATAGTATCATTCTGCATAGATCTACATAAAATTGTTTTAATGATTTGATAACAATTTTTTTAAGATTTTAAGTGTTTTTTGTTAAAATATACGCAATCTGCGAAAACACAGTTTTCCGGCTATTAAAAAAAAACTGTAGTGCCGAATTATTTTTCCGTTTAATATGTTATGGATACATATGAGTTCCAACTACTGGCAAATTTTCAACCCAAAGGTCTTAAAATTACGGCTAAAAACCCCGAAAAACAAAAAAACCTGTACCCCCCTAGGGGGGTGGGCATTGGGTTAAATTCAAATTTGATATAACTGACGTGCGCGGGCATACTAAATAAATATTTCTTATAAATTTCAACTCGATCCGACTCTTTTTCTCGAAGCTATAGCCAGTAAAAGTTCTAACTTAAAAACTCGTACGGTTTTTTTTTTGTTTTTTCAACTTTCGCCTGTGAAGAGTTAAACTTTTTCAACTTTTACCCCCCAAAGTACCAACTAGATGAAAATTGCGATTTATAGAGTTGCTATTCGAAGGAATTGGTCCAGTATAAAAGAAGTTACAGTGTATACAGATAAAAAAAAAAACATACATCAGAGTAAAACCAATACCTTCTCGCTTTGCATCGAAGCTAAAACATTTTTCTGGATTTTTGTGAAAAAGGCATTAAAAGGGGTCAAATTATATGTTTTTGGGGTCGGTGATTACGAATTTGTTATCAGTTCTCAATTTTAATCAGCCAGAAAGAACTTAAGTAAAAAAAAAAAAAAATTGAACTTTGTGTCAACTTAAAGTCAAAAGTGTTACTTGAGCACAAAACTCAATAGTATCATTCTGCATAGATCTACATAAAATTGTTTTAATGATTTGATAACAATTTTTTAAGATTTTAAGTGTTTTTTGTTAAAATATACGCAATCTGCGAAAACACAGTTTTCCGGCTATTAAAAAAAAACTGTAGTGCCGAATTATTTTTCCGTTTAATATGTTATGGATACATATGAGTTCCAACTACTGGCAAATTTTCAACCCAAAGGTCTTAAAATTACGGCTAAAAACCCCGAAAAACAAAAAAACCTGTACCCCCCCTAGGGGGGTGGGCATTGGGTTAAATTCAAATTTGATATAACTGACGTGCGCGGGCATACTAAATAAATATTTCTTATAAATTTCAACTCGATCCGACTCTTTTTCTCGAAGCTATAGCCAGTAAAAGTTCTAACTTAAAAACTCGTACGGTTTTTTTTTTTGTTTTTTCAACTTTCGCCTGTGAAGAGTTAAACTTTTTCAACTTTTACCCCCCCAAAGTACCAACTAGATGAAAATTGCGATTTATAGAGTTGCTATTCGAAGGAATTGGTCCAGTATAAAAGAAGTTACAGTGTATACAGATAAAAAAAAAACATACATCAGAGTAAAACCAATACCTTCTCGCTTTGCATCGAAGCTAAAACATTTTTCTGGATTTTTGTGAAAAAGGCATTAAAAGGGGTCAAATTATATGTTTTTGGGGTCGGTGATTACGAATTTGTTATCAGTTCTCAATTTTAATCAGCCAGAAAGAACTTAAGTAAAAAAAAAAAAAATTGAACTTTGTGTCAACTTAAAGTCAAAAGTGTTACTTGAGCACAAAACTCAATAGTATCATTCTGCATAGATCTACATAAAATTGTTTTAATGATTTGATAACAATTTTTTTAAGATTTTAAGTGTTTTTTGTTAAAATATACGCAATCTGCGAAAACACAGTTTTCCGGCTATTAAAAAAAAACTGTAGTGCCGAATTATTTTTCCGTTTAATATGTTATGGATACATATGAGTTCCAACTACTGGCAAATTTTCAACCCAAAGGTCTTAAAATTACGGCTAAAAACCCCGAAAAACAAAAAAACCTGTACCCCCCCTAGGGGGGTGGGCATTGGGTTAAATTCAAATTTGATATAACTGACGTGCGCGGGCATACTAAATAAATATTTCTTATAAATTTCAACTCGATCCGACTCTTTTTCTCGAAGCTATAGCCAGTAAAAGTTCTAACTTAAAAACTCGTACGGTTTTTTTTTTTGTTTTTTCAACTTTCGCCTGTGAAGAGTTAAACTTTTTCAACTTTTACCCCCCCAAAGTACCAACTAGATGAAAATTGCGATTTATAGAGTTGCTATTCGAAGGAATTGGTCCAGTATAAAAGAAGTTACAGTGTATACAGATAAAAAAAAAACATACATCAGAGTAAAACCAATACCTTCTCGCTTTGCATCGAAGCTAAAACATTTTTCTGGATTTTTGTGAAAAAGGCATTAAAAGGGGTCAAATTATATGTTTTTGGGGTCGGTGATTACGAATTTGTTATCAGTTCTCAATTTTAATCAGCCAGAAAGAACTTAAGTAAAAAAAAAAAAAATTGAACTTTGTGTCAACTTAAAGTCAAAAGTGTTACTTGAGCACAAAACTCAATAGTATCATTCTGCATAGATCTACATAAAATTGTTTTAATGATTTGATAACAATTTTTTTAAGATTTTAAGTGTTTTTTGTTAAAATATACGCAATCTGCGAAAACACAGTTTTCCGGCTATTAAAAAAAAACTGTAGTGCCGAATTATTTTTCCGTTTAATATGTTATGGATACATATGAGTTCCAACTACTGGCAAATTTTCAACCCAAAGGTCTTAAAATTACGGCTAAAAACCCCGAAAAACAAAAAACCTGTACCCCCCTAGGGGGGTGGGCATTGGGTTAAATTCAAATTTGATATAACTGACGTGCGCGGGCATACTAAATAAATATTTCTTATAAATTTCAACTCGATCCGACTCTTTTTCTCGAAGCTATAGCCAGTAAAAGTTCTAACTTAAAAACTCGTACGGTTTTTTTTTTTGTTTTTTCAACTTTCGCCTGTGAAGAGTTAAACTTTTTCAACTTTTACCCCCCCAAAGTACCAACTAGATGAAAATTGCGATTTATAGAGTTGCTATTCGAAGGAATTGGTCCAGTATAAAAGAAGTTACAGTGTATACAGATAAAAAAAAAACATACATCAGAGTAAAACCAATACCTTCTCGCTTTGCATCGAAGCTAAAACATTTTTCTGGATTTTTGTGAAAAAGGCATTAAAAGGGGTCAAATTATATGTTTTTGGGGTCGGTGATTACGAATTTGTTATCAGTTCTCAATTTTAATCAGCCAGAAAGAACTTAAGTAAAAAAAAAAAAAAATTGAACTTTGTGTCAACTTAAAGTCAAAAGTGTTACTTGAGCACAAAACTCAATAGTATCATTCTGCATAGATCTACATAAAATTGTTTTAATGATTTGATAACAATTTTTTTAAGATTTTAAGTGTTTTTTGTTAAAATATACGCAATCTGCGAAAACACAGTTTTCGGCTATTAAAAAAAAACTGTAGTGCCGAATTATTTTTCCGTTTAATATGTTATGGATACATATGAGTTCCAACTACTGGCAAATTTTCAACCCAAAGGTCTTAAAATTACGGCTAAAAACCCCGAAAAACAAAAAAACCTGTACCCCCCCTAGGGGGGTGGGCATTGGGTTAAATTCAAATTTGATATAACTGACGTGCGCGGGCATACTAAATAAATATTTCTTATAAATTTCAACTCGATCCGACTCTTTTTCTCGAAGCTATAGCCAGTAAAAGTTCTAACTTAAAAACTCGTACGGTTTTTTTTTTGTTTTTTCAACTTTCGCCTGTGAAGAGTTAAACTTTTTCAACTTTTACCCCCCCAAAGTACCAACTAGATGAAAATTGCGATTTATAGAGTTGCTATTCGAAGGAATTGGTCCAGTATAAAAGAAGTTACAGTGTATACAGATAAAAAAAAAACATACATCAGAGTAAAACCAATACCTTCTCGCTTTGCATCGAAGCTAAAAAAAGGTATCGATAAGGTAAAATATGTATCGATAAATAAATATGAATGCAAATAAGGTTCAAAAAAATATTATTTAAATTAACGAATCTAAAAGTTTATAAACAAAACATTTGATGAACTTATCATTTTTATACGTACAGTTCAGTTTAACGGTTTTTGAAGTTAAAACACATCAAAACCGGTTAAACTAAACTGTACGTATAAAAATTATTTGTTAATTAAATTTTTGCAAATAAACGTTTAAGATTCAGTTCAGGGTAGCGGGTTTTGAAGTTAAAACGTGTAACGTTATAAGTTTAAAAATTTAATGTAAGTATCATATTTTTGCGTTCAGTTGGAGGTAAAAGTCGTTTGAACGTTAAAGTATAAGCGTTTAAATGAACGTACAGTTGTTGAACTAATATTTGTTTTCATTTTAACAGTTTATTCTCATTACGTACGGAACCTGGATTGACTTAAAATAAATTTCAAATGACCGTCTAGATTTTAAGCGCTATTTACGACTGTCGAATAAAGCGTAATTACCAACAGGTGTATGCTTAACGGCAAAATGGCCTGTAACAAAAAACATATAAATTTGCATTAATTGTACGGTTATTAAAAATAAGTATTCATAACGTTCAAAATAAAAATGAATAATAAATTCAATAATATAAGGTGCCAAATTCAGTAGTAACATGGAAATTAGAGTTTGGCTGGGGGTCATTCCAAAATTTGCGTAGAAAATTCGTGTTACGATTTCGCGTCAACAACATAAAGATAGAGATTTAGTGATTGAATAGTAATAATGGGTACCAGGGTACTATAAAACACACGTTTACATTGTCGCCGCCACCACATAGCGTGCTTTGACTTCAGCTACTGAATACGTGCCGCCGGCCACAGTACCAGGGTTACCATACGTTAAGTTTGCTATACATTGCTCAGCAGCTGTAGCGGATGATAATTATATGAGACGCATACTGTCAGAACAGCTTAACCTATTAAAAACTAATTTTTTTAGAATAATAAATTATTAAAAAGCCAATCTTACCCATACACTCCACGCTAGAATGTTATTTTATTAAGAACAGTTACTAGTCCTATGTGTAAAACATGTAAATGTATTATCTAATAAGAAAGGGACTAATGGTTGCAGCGGTCGATAAAATTTTACGTTTTTAACATTATTATTTTTTTTTATTTTAATTTTCATTTCATTTCATGTATTCACTTGTGTACACTTGTTTATTCAGTGTGAATTTTAACGATTAACTAACAAGAAGTGTACCAGGAATGACAAGCTTAAGATAACGCACATTCTTGAACGGAATGATATCAAACGATCATTAACACTAAGCGAAAAATATTTAGTTTATGACTATGATTTCAATCCAAATATTTTTAAGTACAATTAATATTTATCTATTAGTTTTGTAAAGTGTTTGTGAAAATATATTGAATTTTATAAATACCTAAGTGTTCGATTATTTTTTGTTGCAGATAAAGCTCCATCATGTACTCTAAAATTAAAAACAAAATTCATTTTTATATATTTCAATTGTTATGGCAAAATTAATATGCATATGATTTTTCTTATAACTTAAAAACTAATGTAAAAACCGTGTGATATGTACTATGAATATTAAAAATGAATTACGGAGAAAGGAGTTGTTATCGCAATCTTGTTCTGAAATTAAAACGAAATTATTTTATACATAACAATAACCATCAACTACATCGAAATATTTGCAATTATTACCAGGTATCGCAAACATAAAAGACAAATGCTCTGAAATGATGATTACAAAAAATGTATTTTTAAATGATATTAGACTTAATTTTAAGTTTAGTTGTAAATTTAAAAGAGGAAGTCAAGGTAGAAAATGCATGTTTCATAATAATAATGAATTTACATTTACAAATGAATACTGAGTGATATAAATTTAATATTTATAACACTCATAAAATTGCATTGGTACATTTTTTTTGTAATAATTATTGCATTATTTCCAAAACATTTCTTCTACTAGCATACTTAATCGGTTTTGTTATAGAATAATAATTACTCATCGATAATCTTTGTTGCCAAGCAAAATTTTTTATGTTGATCCACGCGGTCACTGAAATAAACAAATAATTGATTGAGTTAAGAAAAATCAAATGAAATTTTAATGCGTAATAATATGTATAAAAATGTTCTGAATAGAACAGCGGTTTCTAACCTTTTTGAGACTATTACCCATAAATCAGGCTAGATATTGACAAATACCCCTCCCTCCCAAAAAAAAGTTAAGTAAAAATATTGAAAATATTTGAAGGTAATAAAATTATCAGTGTCATTAGGACATAAGATTAGGTAATACACATGTATTCCCATGTGTACATGACTGATGCAAAGTTAATAATAATAATAGATATAAAGTACATAAAATAAAAATAAATAGTTTAGTCTTTATTCCTCAAAAAAATCGTGTTTTACTCCTTGAGGGGTAATTACCCCCAGGTTGGGGACTGCTGGAATACAAATACATTTTGAGTTAAACGTGACCCATTTAACTAGTGATAAGCCGTGTTGGAATTTTATTACACAATTATTCTATAATATCTATTCTAGATTATCAATAATATTTTACAAACTAAATTAATATATAATCATTTTGTTTGTGTAGAAGACTCTTTTGAGAAATATTGTCAACAAAAGTTGCGTTTTTTGAGCTTATTATCCTCAACAAACCTCGACTTCACCACTATTGATAATTCCTAGAGTTTTTCGGTAATAACCATTTTTTAAAAATACAATACACACAACAGCCAATAATTGAATACATTTTTTATAGAGATTATAGTTCATAAATATAAATAACCTTATAGTCAGGCAAGTGGCAAGTACAACAAAACCATTAAATTTATAGTATTAATAATTTTAAGTATGTCTTACTTCTAAGAACCATTGTGCGAATGAGTTCGTCTGTAATAAATTATGTATAAAAATTGTATAGTCTTAAAACTTAAAAAAAGTATTTTGTAAACAAAAAATGTACTGACTTGTAGTTTCAAGGTTCTTTCTATCTTCTACATTTTCTGTAAAAAAGTTGAATAATGAATTTTTGTCGTTTCATGCGTTTCAAAGTACGGTTACATTGAATAGGGTTGTTTTCGATAGAAACTGCACACTACACAGGTGTAAAAGCTTCTTAAGTATGTCAAGGCGACATAGATACGGTTTGACACTTGAAAACGTATAGATTACACGCGGGAGCACTTTAAGAAAGACACGGCTGTCCGTATTGAGGTAAACACGTTATTTTATATATATCTTAACCTATCCTGTATCAATATGTACAAAGGTACAAGGAATACATACCACCATTTGCCACAACATTTAAAAACGCATAGATCACTATCACATAGAAAAGTTTCATTTTTGTCTGCAAATAATAATGCAAATTAAAACATGTTATATTAGACGGAGGTATACTTACAATAAAATCTAAACATTTATTGCAGAATTGCCTATGTAATTTTTTTAACTCTTAGCGGGATTATTTTTTTTTTATTATCTTTACTTATTTACATTGTTCCTGGCGTGTAGTTTAAACTTGTGTTGTTGTAAGCACGCAGGTACAAAATCGTGATTTTCTTACATTGATGCAAAGATTACGTAACCACAAAACACGATTAAAGAAAATATCGAAAAACAATTATTGACAAATGTATACTAGTGTTCAATATTTTTGTCGTTTCACGCGTTTCAGAGTACTGTTAAATTGAATAGTGTGGTTTTCAATAGAAACTACACAGGTGTAAAAGCTTCTTAAGTATGTCAAGGCGATATAGATACGGTTTGTCGCTTAGAAACTTATAGATTACACGCGGGAGCACTATAAGAAAGACACGTCTGTCCGTATTTAGGTAAACACGTTATTGCTTAGAAGAAACTATTAAAAACTCGACGAAAGCAAACAATGTTACTATTTTTAAAGTTCGATAGTTTACCTTACTTAAGCTATTGCAATGATAGTTAAACTGACTGCTTCAATGATTTTCATACAAATTCAGTACATATACATATACAGTGTAATTATTTTATCATAGGCCACTCAATACCTCTAACTTTTAAAACATACATTTTAACACATACATTTCATTCACTTTTGAAATTGAGAATAATTTACTAAAAATGTTGACTGGTCGATTACATTAGTTTTGGAAAACTATTTTTAAAGTACTTAAGGGGCCTCTACACTAGCATTTACTAAGGCGCATTGTATAGGCAATTTTTCGTTGAAACTTAACATTAGGTCAACATTTTAAATATACATATTACCATAGTAAGAAGTATCTATTTTGATAATTTTTTTTTTCAACTTTAATATCGCATGTAAAATCTATTTTTTTACAAAAACACATGTTTCTACTTCAAACGTTATGTTCTTATTAATAATAATATGGGATCCCAACAATTTCTGGTGATATTATTCACTTAATGCAAAACCCTTGTTTAAAAAATACATAATCAAACTGGAGTTAATACGTCTTGAGGAGGAGCTAAAATAAATATCATATAAGTATAACATGGTATACAACTAAACAAGTGCTGAAGCCTGAAAGTACTACACTACAATACTAAAAAACAATTCACATCGATTCTAGTATTAGGACCACCACTTGTATTAGGACAGCAACATATTATAGTATTAAAAAATATTATAATACGTAGATGTCTATTTACAATATATGTGGTATGGATGTAAACATTTAGCATAAACAAAGCATCAAGAAAATACGAACATTTAAAAAAAAAAAATAACGACTACGTTAAAAATTAGCACCAAAGAGTTTATAGCGTTTATTTGAAAGTGGTTTTCCCCTTTTTATTACAAAATAATTTCTGTAGACCTGTAGGCCTCCCCGTCCCTATTGCTTTGATCCCATTATGCCTCGACCCCACTGTACTGGCTTACTAGGATCAAATCACTTTCAAATAAACGCTTCGATACGAACTATGCTTACTATGCTATGCGTAATTATAACCAGAGCTCTGCATCATTCTAATAAAATATATTTAAATAATCGTCTAGGTATCAAATTATTCAAATAAAAGTTCTTTGTTTAAAAATGTATTTGAATAATTTGAAAAATTATCATTTAAATAGTCTGTAATGTTTTTTTTTTAAGTTAATGTATTTAAATATATTATTTCGTAACATTAAATACATTTATAATTCAGAAAATATATAAAACCAGTAAATATAAGAAAACAATTTCGTATAATACTTACGAAATAATTGCAATGATAGTTATACTGGCTGCTTCAATGTTTTTTTACGACTAATCGAAAGGCTTATATATTACCGACCCAAAAAATAAAATCCAGATGTATTTTGCAAAATTGTTTTTGCGAATTTGTTAACATAAGCAACATTTGTTGTTTTTAAAAACATTTACAATTAATTAATTTGGATGACATTATGTGTCGAATAAATTGTAAAGGGATATAATAAACACTATTTAACATATGTAATTTATACTATATTGATACAGTTTTATTAAAGTATGACGCAAAAGGCAATGTTATTTGTATAATAACAGAACGTTTATGTGTCTAAAAAATACTAGCGCCAAATAAATATTTCGCAAAAAAAAACAATTTTGGTTAGCGTTGTAAAAAATAATTTTCCAATATTTCAAATATTCCTAATATTATTAGTACCAAATAAGTAAAAATGTTAAATATATTATTATACAGAGCTTTAAATCAGAAAATTATAGTTAAATAAGTTTCTTATAAAAAAACCCGTTCAAATAACAAAATATATTGGGCACAAGATTTACCGTGTGATCGCTATAAAAATAAGTAAACTAGTAACTCTTCCAAAAATACAAAGTTGGTCTGATTAAAACTATGGTTAATAGAAGGTTACAAACGATTTCTATTTGAACTGGCCAAATAAAAACTTGGTCCAACTTGAGTTAATTTTATAGCCAATTCCTGTAGAGCTCTCCATCGCCTCTATGCATTCATTCTATTATGCATATACTCTACTGTACAAGTCCTCTGGAATAAAATCACTTTTAAATAAACGCTTTAAAGCTTATTTGTATACACAGCACCTCAATTTAATATTTTCTTACTTTGCTGGTTTACACTGTGCTTGGTTAGGACTGTACTGGCTTGAAAATACAAACTATTGATTTACATCGAAGCGTTTATTCGATAGTGATTTTGTCACTCTCAGATTTAAAAATTCCTTAAACTTGTAACCTCCCTGTCCCCACTATGGCCCCGACCCCACTACGCTTCGTTCCCAACTATTCCCCGATCCCTTTATACTGTTTTTTTTTCGATATTAATTTGTTGTATTACACTTTTATCGAGTTTTTTTTGTATTCAATATATTTTTTATTATAAAGTGTTTGAAGTTTCCTGAAAATCACTTTACGACTCTGGAAGAGTTGTTTGTAAATTATTAAGATATCTGGAGACCGAAAGTAATTAAATAGGTGGTTCCCATAGGAAAAAGCCAGTACAGTGGGTTTGAGGCATAGTAGGGACAGAGCATAGTAGGGTTGTGTCATGGTAAATTTTACTTACTATTGAATGGAACACAATAATAACGTACCATACGGTTTATCGGCTGATAATAGCTGTCATTCTGGACAGTCAAGGAAACTATCAAATCTATGTAATTTCTGAAATCATTGGAAAGTACGTAAAAGGATGTTACGTGAGGATTTCAGAACAAACAGTTTTCTTATTTAGTAACTTATTCCAAAAAAAAGGAACCATTCAATTTCAAGACGCCTGAGACTAACTACTAATTTCCATAGATTCGATTGAATGGTGATTATTAATATTATTGCTTATGAAATCTTTTGACCTTTTTTTAATCTATAACTACATGTATGTTTGTGTTTCCAACGTTATTAACAGCTTGGAACAGCAAAAACGCTCTCACGAAAAAACCAAAAAAGGAAGGAATTTTTCTTTGTTTTTTTTTTTTGTGTACCTATTCTTAGGATATAAATTTTGAAAATTATTCACAATGTAAAATAGGCGTTGCTCTATATATTATAAACATTTTTTAAGATTCCTATTAAGAAAATAACAAAAAAAAATAAACTTAATTTCAAGTATAATTATTTATTTAGATTTTAATTTTGTTATGTGTAGTGGGTATTAGGAAAAAATTATTATTTAATAAAATGAAAAAACTAAATTTTCTTTGAAAATATGGACAAAGTTTATATTACAACATAAAAAAAAAACTCAATACATGTTTTTATATTTTTTTAAATTAAAACACGCATAACTTTTAAAATGTATGCATATTTGCCGTTTGTTACTTTGTAGGTATTCAATATTTTTTTCATTATGCGTCATAGATTGTTATACAAAAAATATATTTGTACAAAAAGCCTGTGAACCACATTACAATAAATTTAACCTTTTTCAACTGCGTATTTTTTTATATAAATCCAAAACCATAATGTTGTTAGTGGAGGGGTGGGTATAGTAGGGATGGGAGGGAGTCAAGTGAAGCCAAAGATGTGGCAGGTTTTATGAAAAATGACGACTTAAACAAAAAAAATTACATAATTACTACATCTATTTGTTCTGCCGCATGCACAGACCATACTCGTATCCATAATAAATCACAAAAATAAATGAATTTATTAAATAATAATAAATCAGTTTGTATTACTAATTATTGTAAGTGAACAATTTTTTGAATAAAATCATTTATGCTGTAGAGTCCCTCTATACCTATCTTCACTCTATGCTCAAACTTTTAAATAAGAAATATTTTCTAACACTTCTAGGGGGAAGGATTTTTGGTATACTTTGTTGAGTTAGATATTACTGTCCTAATTAATACAGTGATATAGGTAAAATTCATAAATTAGAAAATAGAGTAATAATAAGTAGAAACATAAATAAATACGAAACGACGTAATAATGGAAGGTATATTATATGTTAAGATGGTTTAGTATTGGCAATCCACAAAAACTTTTCTTAAAGGTTAGTTAGTAGCATAAATATGTTTTAAAAAATGATTTAAATAGTTTATAAAAGTTTTTGCTCGGGTTTTTTCTCGTTAAAAATATTTTTTCTGTCATATTTCTCTTTGATATAATGGTATGAATCATTAAAATATATTTTGTTTTACATTTTATTGCTTAGTTCAGAAGGAATACGCGTTTTATACAAAATGGTTTGTTACTGCATTATTCATTTTTAATAAATAGACCATAGCATTTTTGATATACTGGATGATTCTTCTAACACTCAACACTAGTCTACTCTAAGGCCTCTGGACACCGACCGTTTTTTTCAGCCAAAACACATTATTTTTTATCCATTGAACAGGCCGAACCAGTGATCCGACAAACAATCTAAAAACAGATATAAATTTGTATTAAAGTTTACTTTAGATCGGTCATGGCATACTTAAACACGAGTAATGTAATATAAAACTATACAAATTGTTATTATGAATTATGACTGCTCTAAAGTTAAAACTTAGATATTACCAAGTATTTGTCACTTGCTTTTATTTAAACATCAGAATGAAAATAGGTCTTATATTATATTAAATATATAAACAAATCTGTAGACAAATTTTAGAAAAATATTTATATTTTTTGATTTGAAAGCTATTTTGGGTTTATTAACATGATATTTAGTGGATTATCCATGTTGTGGGTACTATATAACTATATAAATTACATGTTTTTAAACATTACTATAACTTTGCAAAAACTGGTCGGATCAAGTCGACATTGTTATGAAATATTTATTAGGCATGCCTCTATCCACACTCAATGAAAATAACAATCAATTTGAATAAACATTATTTATCGACCGTTATGTGTTAAGGATACAACCATTTTATTCATATGAAAAAAAATACCAATACGATAAAAGGATTAATTACTTTGATATAAATGTATTAAATTGGTAAATAAAAATTGTAAATTAAAAAAAATCTTTTATTATATAATTTAAAATTGTAATAGTTAATAATTATTAATACAATATATTTCTCGATTGGTGCGATAACATTTTTATTATGATCGTTATGTTTTTATCAAACAATTGTGTCGTTTATTGTAAAGCTAAATTATTTCTCTGTAATAATTTAATTTTAAAATAACGAGCTTTTTGTGAATTAATATGTAGGAAAACCAATACAATAAATATTCATTCAGTGTTTCATTAATTTTTAGTTTTATCGGAGTAGCTTTTCTTATGTAATGAAAAACATGACTAAACGTGACTCTATTAAGAAAAAGCATATTTATTTAAAAGAATTAGAGCTAGTCCACTTTTACAATTAACGACCCAATTGTTGATTCAATTCATACAAATATTTCGTTATTATGCTTATAAAATATTTATAGGGTCAGTAGAAAAAATATATTTATGAAATTAATTTACATTTTTATTGAATATAGCATTATTTTTCGTTTAGCCTCTGATTTGAAACCCAAATTTCAATAACACCTGCCTCATAACCTATGAGTCATAGGTGGGATTAGAGGTTTTTTTACAATGTTTATATATTTTTTCAGATATCCAGTTGTTTTATGAATTTATTTTTTTGTTGTTCTTTTTCTTTTAACAAACAAGCATGCAAGGTAGAACTCTACTTTACATAAGATATAGCGAATATTTTTTCTGTATTAGTTCTGTTTTCAGACTTAGTATTATAGTTGTAATTAATAATCACTATTAATTACACATGTAATATTTAACAGTACGCATAGATTATCTTTAAAAAAAATTATCTCATAAGCAGCTTTAATTTATATTATATTTTATAAGTTAAAAAAGAACTACTAAAGCAACTACAATTATAATACCTCCAACTTAGTTTCGGCGTTTAAAATTTTTTTTTAAATAGCTATAAAAATATGTGTTTTCACCCCTTAAGTGATTTAGGTACACGTAAAGGGCTCTTATGTGTTAAATCAATAATCAGATAAACTTAACTACACAAAATACAGTATTTTTCACAATGACTGTTGAAATGAAAACAAACGACTAACAACTGTTGGACTATATTTTTAAGTTTTAACATTATCAGTTATGTATACATTATACAGTAAAACATTTTTTAGATTTTATTCTGTTGTTTAGGAAAAATAAGTTTTTTGTTTAAACGTATATTATATTGTCATTTAAGATAATAAGGGAATCTGAATGTATGAACACAATAATTATAAAATGTGTTAACTAGAATACAAGATATCCATAGAGCTGTAATTTGGATTAAAACACATAATTTTTAAAGATTCTAATATTCGAATAGTGGTATAATAATATACATTTCGAATTAGATTGTAATTCCTACTTTTATCGATAAATAAATAATTTCGTGTGGCATTATTGAACGGGATTATAGCTAACTTGGTCCTCA